TTGTTAAAACTGGTAATCTAACCTTTACTCTCTCGGTTAATGATTAAATTTTTAATCTTTATCTGGAAAATCAACTCTGGTATTTTCTTGTTTTCGGAGATTAAAAATTGGGGGCAATTTAATTTATATTAATGGAATTAACTTAATTAATTCTTTCCTTATCCTATTTTCTGCTAATAATTTTTTAATCGCACGACACCCACATGGAATTATCCTGCATCAATGATGTTGATTTTTGGTGAATCCATTAGCGTTGTAATTTGGATGAATCCTTTTACTTTCGGATCTTGTTAATGCTTGTAAGTGTCTAGTTGGTCAATTGCTATTCAAGCATCGTCAGCTTTTTCGGCCCGCCAGTTGTTGCTTGGGTCTTTGTTTATGTACTCTACTGCTGCAAATTATCTCACTTTTGTGTTACTCTGACCGCAGGGAAGCTATGTATTGAGGTTTCTCCTGCTTCAAAGATTGCTTTCATCTCTGAGGAGTTGTGCATTGGTTGTGGTATCTGTGTCAAGGTATGTAATTTTACTCTGATATCATATTTGTGTCCGTCTCTGTTTTGTTCTTGGGATGGAAAAGAGCATACAACTGAACCTGAACTCCTGATCTGATGCAGAAATGCCCATTCGAAGCAATTCAAATCATCAACTTACCAAGAGATTTGGATAAAGACACAACCCATCGATATGGTCCCAATACTTTTAAATTACACAGGTTGGTTTTCATTCATGCTTTTCCTGAAAATTTTTGTAACTTTTCTTTTCTTTCTTTATTTCTTTCTCCTTCCCCCTTGGTTTTGAGATGGTTTTGAATTGCAATTTTAGGTTACCTGTTCCAAGGCCTGGGCAAGTTCTTGGTCTGGTTGGAACCAATGGTATCGGAAAATCAACTGCCCTTAAAGTTCTGGCTGGGAAACTAAAGCCAAACTTGGGTCGTTTCAATGTAATTCTCTGAGGCTTTTTATTTTTTGGTAATTTGCTTCTTTATGCATGTTAATTCTTTACCTATTTTGACAATCCATTTGCAGAACCCCCCAGATTGGCAGGAAATCTTGACCTATTTTCGAGGATCTGAGTTGCAGAATTATTTTACTCGCATCTTGGAAGATAATCTGAAGGTGCTTCTTTTCATTGATTCTGATTCTGCATCTTCGAAGTTGCATGTTTCTTTTTTATTGGTTTATGAGTTTTTTTGGGGATGATGATGAGAGTATAATAAATAGCAGAGCTCCAAGTAATCCAGTCATACACCATGTCAAGGCATTCTCTAGTTATCTTGCTAGTTTGTTCCAAAGTTTTCCTAAAACTTAAAAAGCTAGGTTGTGGTATTCAATGAGTGGGATTGCTTCAACGTCTTCTTCTAACTTTCCTAGATGTTAAAATTGGTTCCCATAAAACAGATATTGTGTGATACAGTGCATGCAAAGTTTCAAAAATATTTTGACTGTGACCTCTTTGTTTTTTATACTTATATTATATTCCCAGCATTGGTATTGAATTTCTTTGAGTCTCAAACTTTGCCCCTTGAGCATCCCTGGGGGAAAACTTAAGCCAAGCTGAACCAGTTTAATTTTGCATTTAAGAAAGATCTCCTGGAATGTTCCTTTTTACTTGCTATCTAAAGCTACAGAACTATGTAGCTTGCAAAAATGATTGATAATAAATGCCACTTTCTCTTGTCAACTTCAATACATCTTGCATCTTTGCAGCCATGAATATGGCAATTTTGAGAAATGTCCTGGAATTCCCTGTATTGCCTTGATATTCGCTGACAGTTTTTATATTAAGCAGGCCATCATCAAGCCACAATATGTTGATCATATTCCAAAGGCAGTTCAAGGCAATGTCGGTCAGGTGCTTGACCAAAAAGATGAGAGAGAAATGAAGGCAGAACTATGTGTTGATCTTGAACTGAACCAGGTCATTGACCGTAATGTTGGGGATTTATCTGGTGGAGAGCTCCAGAGATTTGCTATTGCTGTTGTTGCCATACAGAATGCAGAGATATATATGTTTGATGAGCCTTCAAGTTATCTCGATGTAAAACAGAGACTGAAAGCAGCACAAGTCATTCGATCTCTGCTCAGGCCTAATAGGTTTAATCTTCATTTGTCCTTAGTCTCAAATAATTCTTATTAGTTTGAATGGATCTGATTTGGGTGGTTATGCTTTTATGCTATGTGTTTCAGCTATGTGATTGTGGTCGAGCATGATCTTAGTGTCCTGGATTACTTATCAGACTTCATTTGCTGCTTGTATGGAAAACCTGGTGCATATGGAGTTGTAACCCTTCCCTTTTCTGTAAGAGAAGGAATCAATATATTCTTGGCTGGATTTGTCCCTACAGAAAATCTAAGGTTTCGAGATGAATCTTTGACCTTCAAGGTAAACCTGTTAGTATTATTAGTTGTGCACCCTTATTACTCTTTAAGCTCCTGCCATTACCTCTGTTTCTCTTTTGTTTTAGGTTGCAGAGACCCCGCAGGAAAGCGCTGAGGAAATTGAAACTTATGCACGATACAAATACCCAACCATGACAAAAACTCAGGGCAATTTTAAACTTAAAGTGATTGAGGGTGAATTTACTGATTCTCAGATTATTGTAATGCTGGGTGAGAATGGAACAGGAAAGACCACTTTTATTCGTATGCTGGTATTTTGCTCCTTCATTTTCTGTGCATTCATTATAGTACCTGTTTTAAATCATTGTAAAATTGCCTGTCGCTTGGATATGTTGATTAATATTATTCGATAAACGTGCAGGCTGGTTTATTGAAACCCGATAGCGTAGAAGATTCTGATGTTGAGATACCTGAGTTTAATGTTTCTTACAAGCCCCAAAAGATCAGTCCCAAATTTCAATCTACAGTCAGGCACTTGCTACATCAAAAGATACGTGATTCTTACATGCATCCCCAGTTTGTTTCAGATGTAATGAAGCCTCTTCTCATCGAACAATTGATGGATCAAGAAGTAGTGAATCTTTCTGGAGGAGAGTTGCAAAGAGTTGCATTATGTCTATGCCTTGGAAAGGTAAACTTCTAAATTACCGAAAAGTTAAGGACATAGATAAATTTAAATATAGATGTTCCAAGTTTTCTGTACTGCCTCACAAGTTTGAAATGTGATTGGTTTTGAACCTAAATTTATGGAGGTGCTGACGATAGGTGCATCTCCTTTCCTCATTCCAACTTAAGCATTACCTTTCCATGCACATATATCTAGATGCATGCTTACATGTGCACACACATGCCCACATGTACTGGACTAAGCACCCAAACACATTATAGTCTTCATTTGGGATTTGCTAAACTTGTTTCTTTTAACATTATAAGACATTTGAGGTTGCTCTCTAGCGAATGCTAAGAATTGAGAGCTGGTGCGTCATAGTTTCTCCGGAAAGTTGTAGTTATATAAGGCCAATTGATGATAGATTAAGTTTTATTTGGTTTTAGGTTTTCTTAATTGGGAGTAACATTGTTGTGTTTCTATCATTTAGTCAGTTTTCCGGCCTTTTATTCTTTCAGGAAAATGTTGGTATGACAATTTTTTTTATATACTCATGTTTCAAATTAAGGTATTGTGACCTTTTTAGCCTGCTTAATGCATTTTGTTTTGTTTCATGCAGCCAGCAGATATTTATCTGATTGATGAACCAAGTGCCTATCTTGACTCTGAGCAGCGTATTGTTGCTTCTAAAGTCATAAAGAGGTTTATCCTCCATGCAAAGAAAACTGCGTTTGTGGTTGAGCATGATTTTATAATGGCAACTTACCTTGCAGATCGAGTTATCGTGTATGAGGGGAAACCATCACTGGATTGTACTGCAAATTCTCCCCAGTCCTTGTTGACTGGCATGAATCTCTTCTTATCTGTGAGTCTCATGGCTGTTATCTCTTTGGAGCCATAATTCCTTTCTATACTGATTGTTCAATTTATTTGAAATTTCTTGATTCATCTTGCTTCTGTGTGCATGGTGTTTGGTGCTAACTGTTGCACATTATTGCACTCTACAGCATCTGGACATCACCTTTAGGCGGGACCCAACCAATTACCGACCAAGAATCAACAAATTGGACTCAACTAAGGACCGAGAGCAAAAGGCTGCTGGGTCATATTATTATCTAGATGATTGAGTAATTGACTGAAAGGTATGAAATGATCGCTTTCTGTTAAATTATTATGGGTTTATCCGGTGGCTGCTGTTTTAACTATTGTTTTTATCCATTGCAGTTGCTAATTGTGATAAGATGCAAGTGCATTAATGTTGGGTGATTATCTCATCTCTCATATGACTTGTTCTGAAATGTTGTTAAGTGAAAAAGAGGTAGTCCTTTGTCCATCTTGGTCCTAAATGAGCTAGCACACCATTGTTCAAAAAAGATTTATCCTATAGTGTGCTTTTCTGTTCACCAATTTTGGTTGATATTTGGTGAGTTTGAATATTGTTACTTTTGTTTCTTGCTATACCTCCATTGTATTTTCACTAGATGTGGAAAAATTTAGAGGAAGGAATGTTGAATTGAGATATTGAATTATCATTTTAGCGGTTGTTTATTGAACGATAATTTAATGGTTTTACCATTTTACAATTACCCGGGTACTTGAGCTTGAACGGGCTTCGATTTATGCAAAAGTAAATATTTCCTTCTCATTGGTTGAAATTTGAAACGGGAGAAGAAATTTTTGTTACCGTCGTCTATTTACTCCAATTTTAGAATTGTACACATATCCTTCTATATATTTTATAAGCATTAAACTTCGTCATGGAAGTTCCATCCAACGTATAATCATCTCAAATTAGGAGAAATGAGCCTAACGTAATAGATGGAATGAAGGCTTGAGGTAAGAAGTTTTAGTGGTACAAGGGAGGAATCTGAGACTGAGGGGTGGATGGTGGCGTACCGAGCATTACATAAGGGTTTTGAGGCAATTGTTCACCTATGGTGTATTATTATCATTATATTTTGAATTCTTGAGGTACAGTACAGAAACATCCAATTCCTCAATCCAAAAAATGTATTTTCCTTTGATTACACGAGCAAACATAAGCCTCGGCACCAAAGAACAAAACACTTTCCCTAACCCAAGGCAGGAATTTTTGCATTTAAAGCCACATAAGACACTTTCAGGCCGCGATAGATGCCAAACTCGGGCGATCCAGTAGTTTCATTTACAAGCATGTAGTAAAAGCCAACAAACAATGAACTCGATGTAATGTCAAACTCAAAGACGATAATGTTTGGAGATAACCAGATGGCAAACGAACAAAAAAAGTCTGAATTATTCATAGAAACCATAACTAGAGATCTTGGGGTCAAATTATTCAATTTTATTAGATTCAGTCCACAACTTGTAAATCACTTCCACTTCTTGAACTTGCCACCGAAAAATCCATGCTTTCCATGTTTCCCATGCTTAAATTTCCCGTGCTTCCCATGCTTAAATTTTCCACCATGATGCTTAAACTTCCCATGATGTCCATGATGTATAGCACCATGGCCCACATGATGAGCTCCCATAGCAGCTGCAGCAGCTGCTGCACCACCAGCAATCATCGCCCCAACGCCACCATGCCCTGAAGTCAGAATTACAAATATTTAGTAATTTCACAAAATCAGCTAATTATTATCATGGATGCTTATCGCATATTGAACAACACAAACATAATGCTGCAACAAGCTCCAAGTACATTATAACTCATTAAGTGAAATACTACTAATATAATTTTGAGAACTTTACCTGAATGAGATGCACCTGGATAACCAGATGGAGGGTATGCACTAGGAGGATACCCAGCTGGTGGGTAGCCTTGAGGTGGATAACCATGAGGGGGGTACCCTCCAGCAGGTGGATACCCTCCAGGGGGTGGATACCCCCCAGGAGGTGGAGGGTATGCACCAGGTGGGTATCCTCCATGACCATGACCATGACCATGACCATGGTGTGAAAAGAGGCCCTTTTCGTCATGCTTATGCTTGTCCTTTCCCATGTTTTCTCAACCGAGAACCAGTCCTGTGACACCAATATCAAGAACATTTGGTGAGAAGAAAAATGTTTTCTGATTCTTTTGAAAAAGAAGACACAAGACTTTTTATCCAAATAAGAACAAGGAAAAACATAATCATAAACATTGGAAGATAAATCCTGGATTATGCAATAAGTAAACAAGTCACAAACACTAATATGGAGAAAAACATGCATGTTAGGACTCAAGAACAAATCCATAACGGCACCAATTTATTCCAGCAAACAAGAAATTACAAAAATTTCAAGAAATAGTTCAATATCAACAAATTGCCCAAAGCCAAAAATCGCCACTTTAATCCAATCAACAACTAGATAAGCAGCAAGGGTTTCAATTGGAAGCGATAACGCAAAAATTCCCCAAAGAGTTGATGGGAAAACTTGTGAAATTAAAAATAATTTTGAGATCTTAAGAAAACAAAACCATTTTTTGGGAAGTTTCCAATTTTCGATAAGATTAAAGGGACGGGGACATCAAACACAAGCGATCACAAAACACGTTGTCTGAAACCTAGTCAAAACAACAATATATACAACTAAATAAAAGAAGAACATCTTCGAGAGAAAAAAGCAAAAAGACAAGATAAAAAGGGATGAGAGATCTTACAGAGCGAGGGAGAGTGTTGCAAGAACTATAGCGTCAGATTGACCTTTGGGTATTTAGAGCTTTAATTTAATGGATTATTATATCCAGAATTTGAGTAGTTCCACGCGTTGCCTCAACACGTAATTGACGCGGCTAATGCACACGGGGGAACGACACATGGACTAACATGCACTTCAATCTTAATCCGTAAGGTATCCATGTTTTTTTTCAATTTAGATTTTGGATCTAAGTCTTCTGCTACTTCCATTATTTCCGAGTTTTCATCCATTTATGGAATCTCTTTTTTTTTTTTTAATCACTTAATTACTTAATAGGAACATTACAAAGACAATATGAAATCTAGTGCTTTTTTACTTTCACATCTGATTAAAAAAAGATGTTTACTCGAAATCTGTAGAGCCTTTAAATGAGGTCAGGTAAATTGGCTGAAGCTCCTTCTCTATGAATAACGGATTTCGACATTGTTTTATACATTTTTTAGTTAAGTGATAAAGCTGTTTGCCGGGGTAAAGTAGTTTTTCAGGGATTGGAGCCTCATTTACAAGGGAAAATTTTTTATTAAATATTTAGAAGGTGACAAAATGAATTGCCTTGCCCTTGTCATCCATGATTCCATTCCAGATGTGCCATAATTTGACTTCAATTCAAATCATTTGATCATGCGTGCTATAAAAGATCAAGTGACGGACTGGGGAATTTTTATAATAAAATAAAGTAATATGATAAACTAAATTGTTAAACTAAATTGTCTCAGTTATCTAACAGTAATAACTGATAACTTCAAAGCAGCTTAAACACTCGTACGTCATACTTGTCACATTTGTGGTCATCTACAAATTACCACAAAGATTTGGATCAACAAAACCTCAAAGCAGCTTCCAGCTCCTTCTCATCGTCACAGTTGTATCCTAATAAGTAAGCTCGTGCTGCCACAGAATCATTAAAATGAGATACATGCAGTAAAATCATGGAACGCATGAAAGATTGATATCCAGTCATTTTCATTACCAAAACGGCCAGATCCCATGAACGGTTCTGCTTCATCTGTGCCACCACCTTGCTGCTGTTCCTGGAAGTTTGACGACCACATGGAAAGTATTAGAAATGAATAATAAAAACCGAAGATGATGAATTCGCATCTTTCCTTGCAGCAAATATAGTAAAGAAAGGCTACCTAGCTTGTTCATCGATGAAATATATGAAATTAAAGCAGCGCTCTCTTTATGGTCTGTACTCTGTACACTCTTTTTTTAGTCTCATACTAAGCTATTTCTCTTTCTTGTCTATGCCCTTTCATGAAACTTTAAAATTTTAATAAAAACATTGCAAGAAGAACAAATAGCTAAAGAGAACTTCTACTCACAGGATCCAATTCCATTTCGGATGGTGACAGTAACCTATCAAAACAGTGGCCAGAAATTGTGCAGACCAAAAGCTCATTGTTGGGGTCCAAAATGACTTCTCGACAAGTATCATCACATACTAGGACAAGAAAGAACATAAATAAAAACCATAAATTGAAGTCCCACGATAATTAGGCATGAAGTTGTACACATTAATGTGCAAGAGAAATGCCATTGTTGATAATGTTTCCTACCGTGAACCTGCCCGGTCTTCTCACAAACAAACACATCCCCAATTTGGTAGTAGGAACATGTTTCTCCAGAACAAGCATGGTCAGCAATGACATTATCAGTTAGACCCCTACTGCTTTTCCACATAGATACTTGATCAGAAACTGTCTTGTCAAGAATTATTGAGTCATCCTTCACCTTCACAGAGAGAGAGAGAGAGAGAGAGAGAGAGAGAAGAAAACAGCCAAAAGAGAATTAAGCATCTTCTTGCACGCTTCTGAAGGATGAACCAGTACTTAATATTTCAGTATGTCAACAAAACAGGATACAGAGTAACACATTTCCATTCCAGCTAGCTAGTAATTGCATTAAAAAAAATTCCTGCTGCATAATGAAGATGGCTTTCAAGGAACATTTCTCATTACATTCATTTAGCACAACATCATGATTCTCTTTAAACACCATAGCATGCAAAGCTTTCAACAGACATGGGGGAAAACTGGTATATTTATTACACAAAAACATATTCTGTAAATATAAGGACTCTATGATAAGTTCTCTCTACAATAACATCACTGCATGAGAACTCAAAAACATCGTTCCCTCCTTCAATGGGTCAGAGATCAGTAAAATCATGTTACCTGCGAAGGAAGAGGTGCTTGGCTTCTTTTAGCTGCTTGCATTTGAATGTAGTACTCTTTAAATTCAGATGGACAGTTCCTAACAAGTTGAATCATGTCCTCTTCATCACGCTGTAAAAACACATTTAGTTGAAATGTCAAAAGGAAAAGCAGAAGCATGCAGACCAACTGATTTGACCGCAAGAAGTACACAGATAGAAAATCACGATAAAGATTGGTATGCTAAAAGCCGATATTAGAAAGAAGACATACATTTTTGCAATCAATTTTTAATCAAATAGCTGACTACACATGCATGTTATGCCTTCAAAGTTTAATGAAATAAATTCAAATACCAATCAGTTGCATAGTAATCATGAATACAAGGAAAATTATCATTCAAGGAAGGCTGTTTGCCCACTAACTGATCACAAAGGCCTTTTACACAGGATAAATAAGTTGAGAATGTTAACAAAATAAAAATCTAAAACATAAAGGAATCTTAAATTGAGATGTATAAACCAAAAGTACCTGAATATAAAGCTTCTTCCAAGCACATTCCCTTATTTTTGTTGGCGGCAATAAACCCCACCGCATGCAATACCTGCACAAGCTCAAACATTTTTTATTCAAATAGCAAAGCCAGGATTTACTGAGTGGAAGGGCTGACTTTGGTTATAAATGCATACAGGTACATCATATTGGGTGAGGATGAACGGCATGCCAAACAAACCTAATTGTGATTAAAAGCAGATCTAAAATATTAAAAAACATAAATATATCTCCAAAATTAACTAAAACAACCAATGAATTAGTAACCCAGACATACAATAGACTCAACAAGCAAGTGTAGATGAACTTTCCGTCACTCAAACTCCATTTGTCTTCCTAAGGAAGAAACTAATTATGCATTATGCAGATAACTTGACCTAAAAGCAAGTATCAACAATCAACAAACTTTAAATCTAAAAGGCAAAAAGGAAGGAGCTTTGAATATCAGAAACCGAATGCAATAACACACTTACAGGCGACGCCATAGGGACTCATCAGATGCCGCATAATTCAGGAAACTGCACACCAGCGAGCACGAAACAAGATCCTGTAAATTCATACATAGCAAACGTTATATGAAAAATTGAGACTTAGAGAAAAAAAAAAAAGGAATTTTAAAAAGAGAGTATTGAAAAGGACCTCGGATGAGAGAAATTTAAGGATTTGAGGAAACAGCTCAGTAGGAATCTTGCTGAAAGTTCCACTCTCAATCCTCCGAGGCAAACTTCTATTGTTATTGTTCTTCACTTGGCCCGGATTCGGATTCGAACAAGAAGCCCCCTCACCTTTGCGTTTTTGTTTCTCTTCCTCGTCCACCTTTTCTATGCGCAATCGCTTGGCTTTGGCCTCCTCCGATTCCCTCTCCTCCTAAAATCGAAATGAATTGACTCCATCAAATTTCATCAGAGAAGCATAAAGTTAGAAAGAGTGGGGGTGGGGAAGAGAACCTGATCGGAGAGTTCGGATTCGAGGAAGTTTGCCAAGAACTCATCTTCGTCGTCTGATAAGGTCATTGGTCAGATCGGATGGATAACTCGCCGGCCACCGGTGGAATTGGATTTCGTTTATTAATTTATATGAAGCCGAACAGTGTGTGATGAATGGATGCGAGGAAAAGCGGACATCGCTCACAGGCAATCAGGCATGTGTTGGATGGGCCGGTTCCGGGTTGAGCCTACCCGATTCTATACATACATTACACAGCAGTAGCGCTTTGTTCGATTCGTTTTTTTCCTTTCAGTTGCTACGGCCTATGGCCCACGCTTGTTTATGGGCGTCCAAAATTAATTCAAAGCTAATGGATGACAATTAAAAAAACTAATTACGCTTTCTAGTCAAGTTTAACTGAAGATTGCATTTAACTGGAACAAGCGCTAGCATCTCTGATGCTTGGCTCATAAGTGAAAAATTATTGGGGTTGAATGAGATTTGAACAAAGATGACTCTTCTAGCCATTTCCCACTGCCTATGTCTTGATGATCATTGGACAATTTGGGCTTGAGAAACCGAGAGCTATTTGCTAACATCCATACCTTGAAATCAATTTCCTGTCACTGTCGTTTTTATTTGCATTTAATGTTCGAATAAATCAAGGTTTACAAGTTGAAAACATGAAAAATGGTACAAATGCACCAATCATTTGGTAAGAAATAAGAATAGGGCATTAGCTAGCCCATTTAGCATCATCATCCACTTATACTATGAAAGCAAAATGGATGGCTATCAGCCACGGCACAACAATACTAAAACTAGAATTGTAACGGTATAAATCTCCTTGCTTCTTTCCTTACATCAGTTAAGGAGAGATCTTGTTAAATGTTCCCGGGCAGTGGCCAGTGCTTGACTTATTGTCTGCAAAATATAAAACATGCAAATATGGATGATGCTATTGGAGATATGTTGAAATAATAACAATAATAATAATAATAATAAAAGGTGATTTGTTGCTGTTTCTTTAAGGAACCAAAGTAACAATACCTGCTCAGACAAAGGAGCATCCAAATCTATACTATGACTAGCAACCTTCCCCGCAATAACATTTGCATCAGTTTCTAGAATGATGCTGCAAAGGAGAAAAAAAGAGTTAACCAGGATGGAAAATCACTCCCATGGCTTGTAGTCATTTGAAATGGCTTAGAACCCCTAAGGATGACCATTTCAGTTCCTGCCAAGAACTCACAAAAGTCTAAGACAGCTAAGAGAGAATGAGTAAGTCAACAAAGACTAATTCAGTCTCTTGTTTACACATTAATTTTTAGCGAAGAAGTCTTTTTACCTATAGTTTTGCGTAAACCGTTTAGATTCATCTATCTGTTGGTAAAGACTTCTCACAACATCGCTAGAAGAGCCTATACACCTAAAAAATACTACAATAGTAATGATTGTTAGAATGGTAAAATGTATAAGATACCATCTTCTCTTTACTTGTATAATTGTTTTCGACCCAATTTACCATTCATGGTTTTGATGGCATTTTAGACAAAATGTGATGAATGAAAACACATTTCAGCAGACAAAATAAATGTCCTTTTGTTCAAGTATTAACAATGACTTCCAGTAGCAATGGCAGGTTAATGTTCATTGAACATTGACTAGTCTATTACATATTCCATTTTTTTTTTTCAATTTCATTTATTCTTTTAGTATTTGGAAGCATGTTTAAGGTTTGAAATTCAAGGAATCATGACTATTACTAGGAAAACAAAAATAAATAATTTGGCATTTATACATAAGTAAACTTTAGCTACAATGAATCATGATGCATACCCTCCATCAACAATCTCGTCAAGGCTTAACAAAATGAGATCTAAGTTCTCCAGTGCCTCTTTCTTGTCCACATTTCCTCTGGAACATGAGATAGTTAACAAAAGGAGTCGTAATAATTTCTTAGAAATATAACCTAAGCCTGTACAATGATATGACAAACAGCTAATAAGAGATTCGGAAAACCTTAGGAGAAGGCCAACTGCATCAAAAAACCCTTGAAGAACTGTAGCCAACATGAGCTCATTCTCATCTTCAGCCCCAGTAACAAAAAAGTGAAGGTCTTGGACAAACTTGTATACAACAATGTGATTCTCAAACACTGCTATCTCCACTGTAAACAGGGAAACAGCACCATAATTAAGTAGAAACGGTATGAATAAATCAAGCAAGGTCAATGAACGAAACTTCTTGGCCTCCCATGCAAAAGCAATAAAACAAAGTGCAAAACAATATCTTCAACATCTGTCAGTGCCAAAAAAGATTTTCATATTTGAAAACTGGTGAAACTATTAACCTGATCAACTCACCAATGTCATTTCTTCAAAACATCCATTGCCCTTACATAGATTAAGAACATATGGTTATAAATCAACATTAAAAGGGAAAGAACAGATACATTTGCATTATAGTTGTTATACTTGAACGATGTGAAAGTATATAACAGCACAAAGGACCTAGTAAAAAGGATCTGATAACAAACACCACACAGAAAGCGGTCTTAATGGAGACAATAATTGCAAATTCTTTACCTTCAGCGCGGGCATTTGCCTTTTGAGTCTTGGTAAATACAGTTTTCTCAAAGGCTTCCTTAGCACTCTTATTCGGCCAATCATCTGAATAATATTTAACAGCAACACGGCTCCCTTCAGAATCCAGAAGAAGGATATTTTTAACGGAAGGACACGACTCCTACAAACACCACCATAAACACAATTATGGATTTTAAATGACCCAAAACCTTGATCTCCAACCGATTTTCTAGTAGATAATACTACAAGATCTTCTTGCTAGATCATTTTGTTGCATTTGAAGCTTAAGATTGCTGATAAGAAATTATGGCAATGAGATCTACATTCATATCCCAGATTTAGTTTGGATTAATAGTGTTTTCTAAACCTCCAGATTAGTTTCAATTCAGATTAAAAACAAAAATCTACAATATATCTGTTAAAAAAGAAACCATGGGATCGGATCCGAACACATTGTTCGAAATTTTTAAATTAAAAAATAAATCGAATTCGATCTTCAGACAAACAAGCTTAGATCTGCAGTGAAAATAACGGAAACCAAACACAGTTAACGTAGAAGTCCAAAGAGTTACTCTCTACAAGAACACAGAGCCGTGATTATAGAGAAAAGATAGAGAAAGGGAGCTGACCATTTTTTTTTATGTTATTGTTGGGCAATAAGATGCGGGCAAAGAGCTGATCCGCGCTTTACCCTCCCTGATGACAGAGATTTTAGATTTAGATTTGAGGAAGCAAAGAAGAAAAATGAGGAAACAGAAAAAAGTACAGCCAGCCACACCTAATTAAAATTAGAATTTTGGACTCCATACATCTTGGGGTAGGCCCACTTGATGATGATCATATGAACAACAGCGCTCTTGACTTTTAAAGGCCCAACTTTTGCAGGATGGCACTTAAGATCACTCCAGCCAGCTCCAATCATTCGAAAGCCCAAGTCCATGTGGATTGTTGAAGTATCCCTAAATTATATATATACCAACGTCAAGCAACTCAAGTTCAGTCATCAGCCATACCCTTGTATGACCCGATATTCTAAGTAAATGCAGATGGATAACTTCCTTTTTTGTTCTTCCTTGACGTCGTACTCTAATTTTTATTTTTTTTTTGTCTTTAACAACAAATATATATTAATTTATATTGTTTTTTATGGGTACCATACCTATATGAATATTGATAATATGTCAAAATATGATTATAAGAGGAGATATAAGAGTTATAGGCAATCAGCCATAATTAACTTACTTGGTAACTGTGGACCATTAATTTGGGGAACAACTCATTGCTTTGGTTTGGTTTTATTATAGTAATTGATGCGTAGAAGCCTAGAGTTCTTCATCGTCTTATTCTTATGGAGAGTGCTAGAAGTAGTGTAGTATAAGCTAAAAACAGGTGACCTAGCCTGTTTAGATTTGAATTTACAGCTTCCAACTGTTGGATTTGTTTTGATTGTATTCATAATTTTTTTATATATAAAAAAAATCCGCTGTGTGAAAACGAAGAAAGACCTTATAGTTGCTAGGATCTCCCCACTCGCAAAGTTCTTGTAAGACTCCTTTTCTTCCTACCATTTCCACATTACTAATAAATATCTTGATCCTGTCATCGTTGTTCAAGAGACGCAGCAACATGGACGCTTTCTCCTCCCCCGTTATCTCAAAACTCGTCCCTCCCCCTATCAAACTTTCTAGACCCATTTCAACACAATCGTCACCACCTCAGGTTCGTCACTTTAACATTTCCTCTGTTAGAATTGAGGATAAACCTCAAACTTCCACTACTTCACCTAGCGAAACAAAGCCCTTAACTTCAAATACCCGAATTCCACAACTAACAGTCTCCTCATCGAGTGGAGCGAAGAAACAGGCAGAGCCTTCGGTTACCTCAAGGATGTTTGATACATTCGATGACATTATCAACAACTTAATAGATCCTCCTCTCCGGCCCGCAGTTGATCCGAGGCTTGTGCTTTCAGGGAACTTTGCTTCTGTTAATGAGTTCCCTCCAACAGAGTGTAAGGTGATACAAGGATCCCTCCCGTCATGCCTAGACGGTGCGTACATACGCAATGGCCCCAATCCACAATACCACCCTCGAGCCCCTACCACCTCTTTGACGGTGATGGTATGCTTCACTCCCTTAGAATTTTCCGGGGTAGAGCCACTCTCTGCAGCCGTTATGTCAAGACTTACAAGTATACCACTGAGCGAAATGTGGGCTCTCCGGTTGTCCCCTATTTCTTCTCTAGTTTCAGCAGCCTGCCTGCTTGTCTCGCCCGTTTTACTTTCTTTGCAACTAGAATTATAATTGGTCATTACAATCCTGCAAAGGGCATTGGTCTTGCTAACACTAGTTTGGCCTTGTTTGGCAACCGTCTCTATGCGCTTGGTGAGTCTGATTTACCATATGCTGTACGCTTGACGTCTAATGGTGATATTGAGACATTAGATCGCCATGATTTTGAAGGAAAATTGTTAGCTAGCATGACAGCTCACCCAAAGGTAGACCCTGACACTGGGGAGGTCTTTGCTTTCAGGTATGGTCCCATACGTCCATTTCTAACGTACTTTTACTTCGACGCAAACGGAAACAAACACCCAGATGTGCCCATACTGTCTATGGTCCATCCATCTTTCCTCCATGATTTTGCGATTACGAAGAATTATGCCTTATTTGCTGACATACAAATGGGAATAAAGCCAATGAAAATGATTTTTCGAGGAGGTTCTCCTATGATTTTTTCTCCGGCCAAAGTGCCAAAAGTTGGAGTCATCCCTAGGTATGCGAAAAACGAGTCAGAAATGAGATGGTTTGAACTGCCAGGGTTCAACCCCGTACATGTCGTTAATGCCTGGGAGGAGGACAACGGTAATGCAATAGTTATGTTAGCACCAAACATAAGATCAATAGAGCATGCCTTGGAGAGAATGGACCTTATCCACGGCATGATGGAGAAAGTAAGAATCGACCTAAAGACCGGACTGGTAACGAGGCAACCTATTTCATCAAGAAATCTAGACTTTGCAGTGATAAATTCATCATACTTAGCAAAAAAGAACAGGTATGTATACTCTGGAGTAGGTGAGCCACTGCCAAAAATATCAGGAGTAGTGAAGCTTGATGTATCCAAAGGAGAGTTCCAGGAGTGCACGGTGGCAAGCAGGATGTACGGGCCTGGATGCTATGGTGGGGAGCCCTTCTTTGTTGCAAAAGCAACAGAGAATTCAGAATCAGATCTAGAGGAGGATGATGGGTATTTGTTGTCATATGTTCATAATGAAAACACCGGAGAATCAAGATTCTTGGTGATGGATGCAAAGTCACCCAATCTTGACATAGTGGCTACCGTGAAGCTACCCCAGCGTGTTCCTTATGGCTTCCATGGACTTTTTGTGAAGGAAAGTGAACTCAACAAATTGTAGGGCTATCTACTTCTCTACCATTGCTTTCGACGGCTGGAATTAATTACTGTTGTAATTAACATTGTTTTGAGCTCATGAATTTAATTGTTTAATATATCTATCTAATTGATAATACTATTGCGCAAGTGATAATATTATTAGCATTGAAATTAATAATCTCATTATTCGCAAGTACTGATTTCCTGAATTTATTTAATCTTCATATTTATGGAAAGAAAATATACATCCAATTGATCGCTCTCGCTTACAAGAATTTTCAATCTAGACGGAAACAAAGCACACATGCGTAGCGCCAAAGTGTTCTCGAGGAAGGAATGGTCATATACGCAAAGCAAGATCCTTCTAATGGTCACATACGTACATTCCTTAAGGAGAGAGATATTTTTTTACCATATATTGAAAAAGATAGCAGTAGTGCTAACTTTCCAAACTTTGCCAACTACTCAAAGAAAAGAAAGATACATATTTGCACCAGCAGTCTGTTTCCTTTTACTCCGCCCTTTTCTTTTGTTTTAACTAGTAGGTAATTGCCGTGTTGTCACTTCTGCTGAGCTGCTCATTGGCACCTTATCATTTCAATGTCTTAGAGCCCGAGGAACGGCACCACGTTATTACTTCAGTGTCTCAAGGCCTGACTCCTGACTCCTGACTCCTGAGCAGGGGAAGGACACTGCGAAAGCCTCATTGACGATATTAATACAAATGGAAACTTTTATCACTTTTCTTACTGACTTGGTATTTGGTTTATTGTTCGAGTGTTGCTCTGGAGATTCAAGGCAAGATAAAGCATGCCAAACAAAATGCAAGCTGAATTGCCACAGATTAACTTTTTAATGTCATAGCAAGCTGGCTTTTTTTTTTTTTTTGGTAAAAAACAAAAATTTGAAAATAGATAATTTGTTAAATCCTCAAATCGATATACAATATATCATATTTAATAATTTAAGACAAATAATTATAAATCATATATTCGAAATAACCTTTCGAATCCAAAATCTCTTCGTTAAAAAAAACAAATCTTAAACGATTGAACCAACATATTATTAGTAAAACTTCAAATTAAGCAACTTTTATCCCTTAAAAAAATGCTGGTCAGAATGGTAAAAGCAAGGCTACAATTTAACCAAGTACAAGCTTCACAGCTTTGTGATTGAATGATTCCACTTTCATGTTCATTCCCTTAAGTAATGTTCATGTTTAGCAAATTCAACAAAACTTCAACCGCTGAATCTTCGAATCAAACCCAAAAAGATCCCAAATGATGGGGCAATAATACCAATGATAAATTTATGTTGCGCAGAGCATCAATGTAAAAAATAACATCAAATGACTGCAACTGTCAGCAGCAATTCACAAGGCAACCCAAATATCCAAGAAAAACCAAGATATCATCAGAATAAAAGATAGGTGATAAGCATCATGATCAGCATGTTCCAGATTATTTCTCTAATAGGTGGATCAATAAAGGGTTTTCTAACAAGCTTTTATATTCAACCATTAGGATTTGGTGACAAAAGCATTTGTACCAAAAAGATGGATGACAAAAGCATTTCTCATATTCATCATATTGCAACTTAGGTTTCCAAAAAGGCTAAGCCAAACATTAGTTAGATTTCACAAAATGTGGGGAGAGCAATTTGGTGATCTCAAACATTCCAACCGTGTCCTTCCCGGCAAATATCGTCTTCAACTGCTCATCACAAAGAATCTCCCTCTTGTTTGCAGGGTTCTAAACAACATCACGACAAAGTCATGCTCAAAAAGTTAAAAAGCGTAGGGTCAAGAAAAAGGGAAAAAAAAAAACCCTCTAAGAAACAATTTATACAATAAAGACAGGCAAAATTGATAGGCATATCCAAGCTTGCTTAAATACAACAATATTCAAAACATAATACTAATGGGACACAAATGCAATGCCTCTCAGTACAGTTGGCAGAAATTTAAAGTCCTAGTGATGTCGAGATTGGTTCGATGGCACTAAAACAAAGCAGAAATTAACCCTTTGCTTCAGTGGATATAGAAGCAAACATAGATAAAGATGAACATGAAAAAGAAGATATAGGAATTCTGATAAAAATATTAGGAGCCTTCTGGTTTATATCGATTTGATTACTAATCCTCCCTGATAATCATTTAACTATAAAGTTTCAGAACAAATTGCAAAAGCTCTTTCTTTTATAATGCTTCGATAAAATACCCACAAAACTTTCCATTTTGTAAAGTTCATTCTTTTTTAATGCATAAAATTTTTTTTTTCAAGATAAAATGATAAAAGAGCGGGCTTAAGAAATTAAAGTGGAATGGTAATAATAATCTATGAAGAAACTACTGAAGGAAAAGGAAAGGGGGAAAGACCTGGAGCTTGTGGTGCTTGATGTAGTCCCAAGTCTTCTTAAGGGCGTCGGTGCGAGAAGCTTGGGAGGCTCCAAGGAACTTGCCCAACTGTGGAGAGACAGTCATCACCTGCATAAGGCCCTTTCCATTTGCATTTGAAGCAGAAGCAAAGGAAGCAGAGGAAGCCTTCGCCACTGCTACCAATCCCCTGCACCTTGCAAACAGTCTTGATGTGGCCATCATTGCGCTCTCTCACTTTTCTTCTTTTTTTTTTAGGTTGCTGCAAGCAAAGGAAATCCTCCCCCTAAAACCCTAGTTAGAGGGAGGGAAATTTTTGAAAGAGTAAAGTGGGCTTTTGCCCCTTTCCTTCTTGGGCTACTTATTTGGACTCTGTTTAAAATTTTTAGAGACAGCTTGGGGCTCATATAATTGGGCTCAATTCAGACTTTGGGTTTATGATGTTGGTACTTCCGTACTTGTTGATAGATCAGTCATCGGCATGTTGATGAGAGTGGAGACCTGACAATTGTTGATTTAATGAACATGGATCAGCTCCTATGTAAAGCAGGCAGGATTAATCCTCATCAGCTTGTTTTGTTTGGGTTAGGTCAACGGAGGCCGTGGCCTGCTGAGGTTACCACTTCCACATGCTGAAAATGAAAGCCACGTCATCCATACATAAGTTACAAAGAATAAAAGGACAAGACATGCAGATTTATATATTGTCCTTTTCCTATTGTTTCAGGTTGATGAATTTTGGCGTGGATACACGATCTTCAAGTAGGAAATGACATGGATTTTGGGTGTCAATTCATTTCATGTTTACATGCTTCTCCACTCATTTCAGATCAAGTGATCTTTTCTGCATCCACACCACGTGGTCCACCTATCAATCTAACTTCAATTTCAGAAATTATTACAGGTAACTTCTCCATTACTACTATATATGCTAGCTAGTGACTCCCGATTATCCTTGCTTTACTTGTCCAATCTTCAATCATTCTTTCTTTCTCAATCTCATTAAGATGGATATATATATATATATATATACACAATATGGGTTTTGATTAAATTATAGTAACGGAAAACCAAGAATTTTTTTCCTATAATTTCTCGGACAGATAGCCAATAAGCATTTTATGCCTTCCTTGAATTATATGCTCCAATAAGGGTTTCCTTAATTTGATTTTTTTTTTTTAAGAAAAGGGTAATGCTCAAAATTCCATTCAATATGGTCGACATGATATTGATGGCGATTCTCATTTTTGTCTCACTTGCTTTTGACCAGAAGTTTAACTGAATCTTTTATTAATAATTAATTTTAATATAGAAGTGAAAAAGGAAGCATTGATATGCTCTGGTTAACTCCTGTCTTTTCCATCACCATCAGGTGTTCCCTAAATTATTCATTTTTAGGAAGTGTGCCTCCCGTTTCTGTTGAGTGCACTAGGAGGAAGGATGCTGTTGAACTAAAGTGGCTTTTAGATTCAGAATCCCAACAAAATCTGGAGCTCAGGTCTGCAGAAAATTATTGGGGCTTGAGTCTGGTTTATATTTGTTTTCTTTACTGCATTGTGGAGTGCATGTGTCAACTGTTTTCCTTTCCTCTGATCACATTCACATACCACATTCAATTTATTTAAAATACTTTGAATTGATCAAATATCAAATTAGAACTTGTGAGTTAGTAGTATATTACCTAGAACTATGACAAAAGGTTGATAGATAATACATATCGACTCAAAGGGATGTTGATCGAAATTTCCCAGGATGGTCCCCCTCCAAAATTCTAAAAATTATTCTTCAGTTGAAGAAGGAGAAAACTCTTCTAACTGTCCTGTCCGATGAAACCTTTATCTTTGCTAAATTTACCTCAACCGCACTCGATGAAGAGCCATATAAGCGACAAGTCGATAGCCTACCAGCATCAGTGCCATAATGAACACATCTATCCACAAATGGTTCAGACCCATTGATTTGATGGCAGGAAGATCTCCAACCCTACATAACACTCCCTTTGAGCACTCGTAAAAATCATCCTCGTTGTACTGAACTCCAAGAAGAAGCTTGTAACAATAGTAGCTATAACTCAGGTATTTTAGCCAGACTATGAAGACGGGGATTTGTTGAACATAGTATCCCCCAGCTATAAGGAAAACAAGAGTTGTTACAGAAGCTAATGTCGTTGCTTGTTTGATGTCCATGAGAATAGCCCCAATGGCTAGGCCGAGACTTTGAGAGACAAGGACATTGTAAAGCACGACTAGCAGAGATAGGATGAAGGTTGCAGGGTCAGGTTTAAGCCCACCCATCCAATAGATTATGAAGACAAAGGCAGTTGGGAGTGCAAGCTCCAGTGGCAGATCACCGAATGTTCTGGCAAGAAAGTAGGAGGAAAGGCGGTACATTCCAGAAGATCGCTCCTTGATTAGCATTGTTCTTTCTTGAGGGAATGTGAATACCGCATTGTAGAGTGGATAGAAGCCCCAGAAGACGGAGAAGAAAAAGAGCAGCGCAATCTGTTTTAAGATGCAAAAGCTTGTTTAGCATCTACTAGATATCCTAAGCAAAGAATTTAAACTAGCATAATCCAATGTTGTCAAACCGGAGATGTCTCTCCAAATTCTTAGTTTGAACCAGATTATTTGTAGATATAGGAACAATGCAGATTGGATTAGCTATTGTGAATTCCAAGGTTTAATAAGAAGATTGTGAAATGGCATGAAGTTGGCAAAAATTTTGAAACCTTAGCGCGAAAGTCATCACTGTTTTGATTTGAAGTAGTGATATTGGGTTATTCTACTTGGTATTAGTTAACATAGAAGAGCTCTTACGCGGTCTGAGATGTGAGAAGCTGGGGTCTGCCACCATAAAAGTCCACCGAGTACGGCGACACTGATGACCTGGAAGATTCTTAGCCTGTTGAAGGCTTCATACCTCCTTTCTCTAACCCCCCTTTGGAGCAACACCTTGAACTGATGCCACCAACTTGTGCACCACTTTTCTGACTTGTCATTTCCTGCATTGTATCAAAATTAGTACTTGAGTTCAGCTCAAAACCAGAGTAAGGCAAATTTATGAATTTCAGAGAAAATTACTTGCAGATGCTTCTTTTGTATTGACGTAGTTATTGACATCCGAATTGCAAAGCTCAGCTTTCAGTCTAGTAGAAATATTTTTCTCGTAAGCAGAAATTAGAGCATCCTTCACTGATTTCTGTTCTTGTTCTGTACTCTCAACTTGCTCCACTGAGTGTTTGAAATCAGGACTTATTCCTGCGTTGATGTTCAATTCTTGTTAATTGGACAGCAATATTGTTTTACAAGTAATATCATCTTACTTATCTCAACAATGCAAATTATTTCCAAGTTCTACATGAATTACATTAGCATAAGTGTGCGCGCTCACATTAAAATATAAATAGATACATAGAGATTATATATTAATTGAAACTTCATTTCTATTTTAATATGCGTATGCTCACTCATGTGTTTAAAATTAAACGTGCATAGATTTTATGTATTGAAATTTGATTTTTAGTGTAATAGTTAAGATTACCATTGATGAAAATGACCCTATACCATCTAATGGTAAACCAAAGTGACTACAGGGATGTCTGAAGGGTGGGGTATGACAATACTCCATAGGCACAAAGGTGGAAGCACCATTTTTGGTAGGCCAACTGATCCTACCCCATCTAATGTTGAAAGAGCATGAAGAAAGAAACATTGAAAAGCAGAAAACTTCCCATTCCTCATCAGTCTCCATCTATCATAAAGGCAATTAAATGAAAAAAAATAAAGAGCATACCATTAGCAAGATCAAGTAAGAGATCAGCCGGATTGACAGTCATGGATGTCGAAAAACCAATGGAGGAAAAATATTCCAAGGCTGCAGATGCTGAACCATAGTAGATGGGGCAACCCTCAGAAAGCAAAACCACCTTGTCAAACATGTGATACAGTCGACTAGAGGGCTGATGAATGGTGGTGACAACAGTTCGGCCCCCACTAGCAAGGCGTTTGATTGTGGTCAGGATACGTTGTGCTGTCGTTGAGTCCAAACCTGAGGTGGGCTCATCAAGCAAAAGTAAGCTTGGATTGATTAGCATTTCTTGACCTATGCTAACTCTCTTCTTCTCCCCTCCTGATATTCCTCGAAAGAGTGGCCCCCCAATCATGCTGTTCCGACACCTCGTCAATCCCAGTTCAGCGATAACTCTCTCCACATGTTGGACTTTCTCATCTCGGCTCAAGCTGTTGGGCAGCCTCAGCAGTGCAGTGAATAAAAGGGTCTCGGTCACCGTGAGATGAGGGTATAAAACATCATCCTGAGCCACGAATCCGGTTCTTCGCTTTGTGGCACCAGAAAAAGGCTGACCATTGTATGTGATCTTTCCGGATAGCTTGCCAGTGAGGCGGCCTCCGAGGGCAGTGAGGAGGGTGGTTTTACCACTTCCGGAAGGACCTAACATTGCTAGTATTTCACCAGGACAAACTACACCTGTTATACCATTGAGTATAGTCTTTTCTCGGGTGATCCACGCACCCCAGCATGATCCCTTCTGCTCCAACTTGACTTTGTAGACGACCTCCTCAAACTGTGTAAAGAGTCGCAGAAAATAAATAAACTAATATGCACAAAAGAAGACACTAATTAATTTAGTATAAGCGCATAATTATATATTTTCCGTGCCATCACTAGCATAATAAAAACAGTAGCAAATACATGAAGTATTATTACGATCCTTGATTAGAAAGAGACCTTCAAAGTTATAGGATACAAGGTGAGTCTGACAGGAGGTTGTGAATTGTCTTGTATTGGAAACGCAAGTACCGCCCTGTTGTGGGATTCAGACGTCTGAGACAGAGTTTCCACTGGGCCACTGCTGCCATGTTCTGGCTTCGGTGCTATGCAGTTGACAGGCATGGCTAAAGCCTAAAAATGAAGTGATATTATTGTTGGTTTTGGTGGATGGTAGTGGCGCTGTTGTGCTTGGGGCCTTGGTGGAAAGGGAGAGAAGTTAACAAGTTCCTTTTAACTTGGCTCCCCAAAGTGAACTGGAGAGCATATAAATATATCGTTGAAGAGAGAGAGAAACGAAGATTTCTCCTGTGTGCCATAAAGATCTTTGATGTAGGGATAGTCTTCTCTATGGTGGGAGCCCACTTTCTTTCCTTAATGGCTAATAGCAACTCCAAACCATTAAATATAATATACTAATTAATCTCTTCCTAAGGTCCCCTTTATCAGCATCATCGCATCTATTTAGTAAGGTAGCCTTGGATGCTTGCATTCTTTGTGCAGCTGAGATCAAA